AGAATAAGATAGATGGAATATTTTAAGAATTAAATTTGGGATTGATTAGATATGATCAGTTTAAATAAATAATGACTTTAAATTAAGTTAAGTAAAAGAGTAAAAGTATTGTTTAGAATAAATAAAGAAATGGATTAAAGTTTGAGAAAATGATTCCATGTATTGGAGATGATTGAAATTTTTTATGATTTTTTATTAATTATATAAAAAACGGGTATGAATAGAATTGGATTTGGATTGTTATGTATTATGTTAGTGACAGCTAGCAGTAATGTGATGTTACAGACAGCAGATCATAGTGCATTTATAGATGTGTTTAAAACTTATGTAATGAGTGTTGGTTTATAAGTAAATAGTCAAAACAAAGTGAATTCGGTGGAAGATTATTTGGAGAGTTATTAATGATGGTTCAGAAAGGTGAAACATTATAGAGTCTAAATGATCATGTTGAAGAGTTGAGAAAGCATTTGGCAGATGATGAATCAGAGGATGAGAAATATTTCAATGAAAAATAATAAGAAATGGAAGCTACATTTTCTGGATTAGCAAATGAAGTAGAAGAATTAAGAGTATCAGTTGAACAAGCAGCAAGTAGAATTTAAGTTTTGAATAATTAATAAACTATTATTGATGGATTATTTGCAAATGATTAATAAGCATATTAAAAGAGAGTTGGTGATTAAAATGCTATTTTGGATGTAATTGGATAATTGTTATTACGTGTGAGTGAATTACAATAAGGTGGTGGACATAGTTTGATTGAAAAAGATAATTTATTAGATGAAATCAAAGCATTAGGAAGAGGAAAACATATTGAAGTTTTAGCTTAAGTAATTAATTAATATTTACATTTAGATTACTGCTCATTTATAAACTGAATAAGTTGAACATATTTAAGAATTGTTGAATAGATTGAGAGATGCAGTTTTAAATAGTTTAGCAATTGATGAAGAGAAGGAATAAGAAAATATTAGATTATACAATAAATTGAGTGGTGAAATCAGAAGGTAATATTTATATATTTTATATATTTATTAGTTCATTGGCTTAAAGTGATAGATTATATTAAGAATTGGATGCTCACTTTTAATAAAAGGAATTGGAATTGAATACTAAGAAATTGGCAGTTCGTGAAGTAGGATAGACATTGTAAGACAGAAATGATTAGAGGTGAATAATTTAATAATATTAATAGATAATTTATATTGGATAGAGTCTAAGAGGCATAAAAATTATTGAATGATAATTTAGATAGAATTGCAAGATGGTCTGTTGAAAGCGAATGAATATGAATTTGGAAATTTAATATTTTTTAATTTAATAAAATTAATGAACGCAGTGTTATCAAAACTTGATCCATTAATCACAAAATTTGGACTTGATAATACCGATCAAATGGAAATTCTTAAAGGACCATGCAGCAAAATTGGAGTTAGACCTGCTCATGTTGTTTTTATATGTGGTTCTGTTGCACTTTTCAGCATAGTTTTTGGAATTGCAGCACGTTTTCTCTCCACATTCATTTCTATCCTCTATCCAGCTTATA